CTGCCCTGGGCAGTGGGGTGTTGGGCTTCACAGGCAGAAAATTGATACAAAGAAGGAAACAGGAAATGATGGAGAAGCTCATTTCCAGCTGTCTAGATCTTCCCAGCCAAATTGACAAAAAATGCATAGAAACCAAACTTCAGTATTATTGGCTCCACATGTTTATACTAATGGACCTTTGTTGCTGTCGGACACTCAGCTTTTGGAACATGATTGTATCAAGATAGCGGCTATAGATGCTCAAGTGGGATTGGATTGTGATAAGTGGATATATATATATTTTTTGCTGGAATGTTAATGGAATTGAGGGGCTTGGGCTGAGGGTGTATAATGTTTGTCAGGTAGTTTAAAGACTGCTAGGGAGCAGATTTTCTTCCTGAAAGTGTGAAAACTGAACCCATAATGTTGATAAGGACATGTGAGGTGTGGACATGTTGGATTATGAAAGAATAGTTCCTTTCCTAACCCTGATTTGGAGATCCTAAGACTAAGCATATTATAAATAAGTCGTTTGTCTTCTAAATGTAGGAGATTATTTAGTCCTGTTAGCAAAGAAAAGAATGGGAGTTCAGGAGCCTTTCTTATCAAATAGGAAATCTAGATCTGGCAAGGGCACAGGTGAAGTACATGGGGGAGTCATTGGATGAACCTATTGCAGTTTCCTATAGGTCCACTATATTTTCTGATGAAGGAAACTAATAGTGAAAGAAAGGCCCAGCTTCTCCTTCAAACATCTTAATCTGTGACACTGGCTCTCTGAACTCTTCCCTCTGTCTCTCTTTAAATAAAGACAAAATCTCAAGTGGTAGGAGACAGTGTTATTAAGCCAGCACTAAGCTAGCTTTGTCATTTTGTCTCTTTGCAGAAGTGCCCTCTCCTTCCTTCCCTTGTACTTTTCAAAGTTCTTTGACTTGTGGGTGAATTCTACCCATGTGTAATGAGGGCTTTTCTCATAATCAGCTTTTTTTAAAATATAGTTTTTATTGATTTCAGAGATGAAGGGAGAGGGAGAGATAGTAACACCAATGAAGAAAGAGAATCATTGATCTGCTGCTTCCTACACACCCCACACTGGGGATCGAACCCATAATGCAGGCATGTGCTCTGACCGGGAATAGAACCCTGACCTCCTTGTTCATAGGTTGATGCTCAAACACTGAGCCAGTCCTAATCTGGTGGTGTTGTGTTTTTCTTTTTTAATTTTCTTCCATCTTTATTCATCCTTTTCTATAATCTCTAGATAAGAGAGGATGGAGGTAGGGAGAAAGAGAGATCTCCAAATATTTCCAACATTGTTAGAATTTGAGCTAAAAAAATAAGCAGGCAGGGAATATGCCAGATCATTTCCTGGGGCATCTTCCAATCTCAGTGGCTGATGTACCTGCCACACAGGGAGTTTCTAACCCTAGGTCTTTTCAGCCAGCCCTTGGTGAAGCTAAGAACTAGCTTTCTACCTCATATCTCTTACTACCATTCTTTTCCCCAGGCTTTGCTACCTCCTGTGCTTTCCTTCACTTTTCACAGCTGCTATTTCTTCTGCTTGCCTTTTCTCATATTCAAGTTGATGATGGACAAAGCCTGGTGCCAACTCTCAGTCCTGATGGATTTGTGGTGCTAATTCCAACACTTGACATTGACAGCAAGCATGGCCCAGCCCAACTCAGTGTCTGTATCAAATAGCAAAAAGGTTTTAAATTTAGAAAGGAAGAATTTAAGGTTACAGTCAGCCTCATCCTGTATCTCCAACTCATTTGAAATAGGAAAGAACCACCTTTTGCCTTACTCTTTTTTTCTGAGGACAGAGGAAAGGGTACCAACACCACAAAAGATGTGAGCTTTCTCTGCTCAGGAGCCAGAGGCATCAGACAGTGGAATGGTTTATCATTTCTCTCTTGCTAAGCTTACTCTTAATAACTTTTATTGATTGCTACCTTTTATTTTTGTCTCTAATCTAAAGAGACATTTCTCCTTCATACTTTTTGACTCTTCTCACCAATAAATTCCAAAGAGAGAAAGCAAAAATAAATAAAGAAATAAAATAAAGAAAAGGAATACAGTAGAATGATGTGATTTATGTTTTTTAAAAGATTATTCTGTCTAATATATGGAGCCTGGTTGAGGTACAGGGGGAATAATGGAAACAGGAAGACCAGTAGAAGCTAGGCTGTGCTAAAAAAATTGATCAGAAGTGAATCTGGGGTTTTATTTTGGAGACCAAACGCAAATAGGTGTTGGGGAAAGGGTAAAGGGAAAAACTAAGAAAAAACTTCTAGATTGTTGAGTATTCAGGTGGAAAGTGGTACAGCTTATTGAAATCAAGAAGATGAAGGGGAACATGTTGAGTATGTAAATGGAATTTTCTTTTCTGAACATGTATAGTTGATATGTTTATTAGATATAGAAATAGAAATGTCAACTGGAGATAAAGATAGAAATTCATCAGCATGTTGCATTTTTCAGTGTACTTCCCTCTCTGTCTCTGCCAGGAAAAGGGTAGATTGGGTCTGCTTTTTTTGTACAGTGATTCCCTCTCAAAATTATGTGTTCAAAGAATATAATCATACCAGATAGAAAAAAAAAGGAGGATGGCTTGCAGAGTTGTTTTGGTGGCAGTTAGATAATAAAGAGAAGGAAGGACATAAGGTGGCTCCCAAAGTAGTACCATTAGTTAATTTGTGAAAATAGGGGTGTGGTAATTTGTATTTTGGTCCCAATTCTTCATCCTTGTGTATATTAGACCCTTTGCCATGTGTCATTATAATGGCCTGCCATAGTGGTGTGCATATATCTGCTCCTTGATGGTGAGTTTCATCATGTGACCAGCTGGGGTGTGAGCAGATGTTATTTGAAGAGAAGCTTGAAAAAGCTCTTCCATAATTGGGCTTCCATTCTTCTGCATCTGCTATCATCATGAGCAGGACATGGTTGGTGTGGCCCACTGGAAGATAAAATACATTTTATGCAAAGGCAGGACACCCCAGCTGGCCAAACTAAATCATGTAATAGCCAGTCAACCCTCAGACATTTGAGCAAATCCAACCAAGGTCAACATCTAGCCAACTTCCACTGCTCCCAGTCATGTGAGCAATAAACACTTATTTTGTAAGTCACTGAAGTTTTACCATTCTGACGCTACATAATTGATACAAGGAAGAACAGGATGGAATAGAGGCAAGGATTAGTCTGATTTTTTGACATGTTGCATTTGAGATGGCTAGTGGCCACTGGATGTAGGACTCAACAGCCGCTTAAGTTCTGTGAATTATCAGCATAGACATAGTCAACATATAAGTATGGATAAGATTACCCAAGGAATTATATATAGAATGAAAGGAGAAAATTCTGATGATGGCACCCTAAGAAAGACCTGCTTTAGAAGGAACCATTGTGACTGAGAAGGAATGCTCAGCAGTATCTGGGAGAACCAGAGAAGAGTGGTGATGTGAAAACAGGAGACACTCATAAATGCAGAGAACCAACTGATGGTTGCCAAAGGGGAGGGGTGTTGGGGGACTGGGTGGAAAAGGTGAAGGGAATGAGAAGTACAGATTGGTAGTTATAAATAGTCACGGGATGTAAAGTACAGCATAGGGAATATAGCCAATAATATTGTTAGAATTGCCAAATGCCAAGAGAGGTAAAGTAGACATCTTTATACTCATTTTACAAATGAGTAGGTTTGGATAGGTTAATTAAGTTTGCCACGTATGATCATACCAATTAGTAAATAACAGTAAGGGAACTAGAACCTAGGCCTTTTGATTATTTTTAACCCAAGGTGTTATCATTTTTATCATGTTGTCGTTCTTTAGTGCAGTGGTTCTCAACCTTCTGGCCCTTTAAATACAGTTCCTCATGTTGTGACCCAATCATAAAATTATTTTCGTTGCTACTTCATAACTGTAATGTTGCTACTGTTATGAATCATAATGTAAATATCTGATATGCAGGATGATCTTAGGCGACCCCTGTGAAAGGGTCGTTTGACCGCCAAAGGGGTCGCGACCCACAGGTTGAGAACCGCTGCTTTAGTGTGTACTTCTGATGTAAATATATTATTAAAGTGATTGTAAAATATCGTTTACATATAAAATGTTAAGACAAGTGATAAAATTTTAACATTTAGAATTATATGAATATTAAAAATAGATATATAATTGGGCTTCCACTGAGATTATAATTTTGTTATGTTATTGAATGTTTCCTTCCATTATACATCAATTTTCCTATATCTGATAAATGTGTTTATGTTTTGATTTCCTACATGCACTATGGATAGAAAAATGACTTTCCTCTCATGTTGAGTATCATGAATTAATAATAGTAATGTTGAAATATTTTACAGAATGAACTTCATGAGCTAGAAAAACAAATAGCAACTGTTTCTGCAGAAACTAAAGAAACAGAAAGGCTAATTTATCAGCAAGATGTTGCCATAGAGAATAGCAAACTTCAGTGTGAAAACCTGGAAACACAAATCAAATCCTTACATACAGAAAATGTAAAGCTTAAATTTGATATAGAAGCAGCCCAAGAAGATTTCAAGGAACACGTGATAAAATATAATGAATACTATGCAAAAATTAAAGTGCATAAAGATAGCTTGGGGGAGGAAGAAAGCAAATGGCCATTTATGATTGAACTACGTGAAAAACAAGATCTTGTTAAAAAACTGAAGATAATGAAAGAGGAACTTAGGCAAGATCTCCAGAATCCAGAAGGAAACCGGATGAAACAAGTACAGGTTTGAAATATCACTTATTAAAACTTTTTCTATTCTTTTTTTCTTCTTTTTTAAATCCTCACCTGAGGACATGCTTAGGGAGTGGGGGGGGGGGGGGGGGAGAGAGAGAGAGAGAGAGAGAGAGCGAGCAATTGCCTTCCTGCCTTCCTACATGCCCCAACCAGAAATTGAACCTGCAACCAAGATATGTGCCCTGAGTGGGAATCGAACTGGCAGCTTTTCTCTGCACAGGATGATGTTCAACCAACTGAACCACTCAGGCTGAGCTATTCTCTTTTTTCATGTACACTTATTAAGTGATAAATTTATCATTAACTTAATCAAGTACCCATGGCTGCTCTAATGAAATTCAGAAACTATTTTCACAACTTTAAAAAACTTGGATAAGCACATGAGTTATGTAACAACTATGCCACATGTGCAAATGCATAAACAAACATCCCCAAATTCCATGTGGACTAATACAAATGCATGGTAAAACAAAATCACAGTGAACAATTAATACATTTGTTGCAGAAAGTGTAACTCACAGAAATGTTGAAGCCCTAGCTTCTAAGCTAATGGATCCAGACCAATCCAAGGCAATTTAGTATGCTTAATGCTGTTTTGCAAATAATATGAATTAATAATTGCAGCTTACACATTTTTCTATTTCTTTTACTATTCTTTGAAGACAGTGGGAGAGACAAACTTAAAATATCTATTATGTCTTGCTAGAGACTTACAAGTATCCTTTACACTGTTGCCGGACAATTGCCACTATAATTACCACTATCCTTTACGTGTTATTCCATTTGGATTTTCTAAATGCTCAAACATAATTTTTGTTTATTTGTTTGTATTGTAGTTTTGTTTTTATTATTTGTTCCTATAGAAGGTAATATTCTAATTCTATTTATCAAAAAGAATTATTATGGCTAGTTTTATTAAATTATAGAAACACTGAAAATCTTGGCTTTATATTGATCATTCACGGTTTGACTTGTATATATTAAATTTTATAAACATACAGGAAGACATTACAAAGCTAAAGGACAAAATCACAACTACAAAAGAATCTATCATTGAAAAAACTTGTTTTCTTGAGGAAGAAAATAAGACACATGAAAAATTAAGAAAAGAAATAGAGGTAAGTCTTGATCACCTGGATTTCAATGTTTTATGGAATCTTTTCTTAAACTTACATTATTTTCATATTTTCCACAGTTTATTCTCAATCCCCAAATAGCTAAAGAACTACATAAAGCATTAGAAAAGTCCAACACATCCTATATAATAAAAGCCTAATATGCTAAGTGTTCGGTCATCCAGTCGTCCATTCAACCAATCAAAGCATAATATGCTAATGATATGCTAAGGCCGCTCAACCACTCACTATGATGTGCACTGACCACCAGGGGGCAGATGCTCAAAGCAGGAGCTGTCCCCAGCCTGCAGGCCTCGATCACCCGATTGGGACCTGCTGGCCAACCTCCTGGTCCTTCCCCCTGGCCAGCAGGCTCCTATCACCCAATGGAGAATGGGGAGCCAGGGGTGGGTGGCAGCAGACATGGGCGGCACCAGGCCAAGGCAGGTGTGAGCAAGCAGGGCCCTGATTGCCCAACCAGTTGCCCTACATGCAGAGGGCAACCAGTGTCAGTGGTGGGGGGCAGGGCCGGCTGCCGGAAATTGGGGAAGATTGGCCCTGATTGCAGGCCAGGCCTATGGACCCTACCCAGGCACGATTTTCATGCACTGGGCCCCTAGTTAATAGATAATTAGAGATAACTCCCTCATTCAAAGGTATTGAAATATGAATCTATTTAGACAAAGCAAGCACTCACTCCTATTTCAATCTGTCCTAAAATTATTCCAAATCTAATTCCATCAACAACCTGGCACCCAATTAATGGCTAGAAAACAGGCTATTGAGTCATAAAAGATGACCTTTCCTAGATATACATCAGTGACTCCTCAAAATAGAGGAAAAAACAATGGAAGTCAGTACTACAAACCCCTCTGACTTCATATTTGCAATTATTGAGTCTAATTTTAAAAATTGATATACAAAATTAAAAGTGAGACCAAATTTGGGATACCACTAGTAGACTTCTGTAGTCACTATTGTTTAGATCAGCCGTGGGCAAACTACGGCCCGTTTGAAATGAATAAAACTTAAAAAAAAAAGACCGTACCCTTTTATGTAATGATGTTTACTTTGAATTTATATTAGTTCACACAAACACTCCATCCTTGCTTTTGTTCTGGCCCTCTGGTCCAGTTTAAGAACCCATTGTGGCCCTTGAGTCAAAAAGTTTGCCCACCCCTGGTTTAGATGAATGAAAATTAAAATGGAGAAGAATATGTTGTTAAGCTCAAATAAATAATTTTCACTTTTAAGGTATTAATTTGTAAAATAAAAAGATACATATCTTTAACTTGTTTGTGACTAATTTGATACAATTAATAAGCATCTGAGTTACCATGGCCTGGTGGCTCAGTTGGTTAGAGCATCATCCCAAAAGGTTGCAGGTTTGATTCCCGGTAAGGCACATACCTCGGTTGTGGATTCAATCCCCAGCTTGGGAGCCTTCAGAGGCAACGGATCAATGTTTCTCTCTCACATCATTGTTTCTCTCTCCCCTTTCCTCTCTCTATAAAATCAATAATAATACAAAAACATATTCTTGGATGAGGATAAAAAAGTCTGTATATTTATACTATAATAAAAATATTTAACCATACTCTTTAAATAGTGGAAGCAAATAGAAGTTGCGTCACATACAGATGACAGCAAGTGAGCACCAAGTCTTTTAGTGCAGTATATTCTCCATGTTAAAACAATGACATTGTGTGTTTGTTACATATATGGAGAAATTGTGAACAATACAGAATTTAGCAATATATTTCACAAAATGTTCTTCTCAAAATAGGATAGCACTTTGATTTACAAAACTGTCTCATTTTATTTATGTATTCACTCATCAATTCATTCAACATATTTATTGAGTTCATACTATGTGCCAATTACTCTTTTAAGTGCTTACAATAGAGCAGGGGTCCTCAAACTATGGCCCGCGGACCACATGCAAATACAAATATTGTATTTGTTCCTGTTTTGTTTTTTTACTTCAAAATACAATATGTGCAGTGTGCATAGGAATCTGTTCATAGTTTTTTTTAAAACTATAGTCCGGCCCTCCAACGGTCTGAGGGACAGTGAACTGGCCCCCTGTTTAAAAAGTTTGAGGACCCCTGCAATAGAATATCGAACAAAATAAATTGATAAAAATCCCTGTTCTCAGGGAACTTGTGTTTTAGTTGGAGAGACAGACATAAAAAAGATATGTAAATAAGATATGTAGCATTCACTGTGGCTGGTGCTCTAGAGTCACACTAAGGGAATTTGCACATCTCTATTCTGATCTGTTGTGTATTCATTTTGTACCTTAACCATTGAAGAATTTCAGAAGAGGCTCATATGCAACCAAACACACTTATTGATTAACCAAAATTTTTTCAATTATATATATCTATATATACATACATATCAATGGATATATATCCTCTTGAATATATTCAGTGTATAAAAATATTTCAAATATAGCTTCATTATTTAATATAGTATTTCAGTTTATTCCATATTTATTTCTAATCCTTTTAAAGTCATTTTCTATTTGCCAACATACCAGCAGACCTAATTCACCAATTTGAGTAAATTATCTGAATTTGAAAAATTACCAAAAATTGAAAACTTAAAAGTTGCATTAAGTTTATAGCAATTTATGTGAAGTGTTAGTTACAAGTTTTCACTTTGCTTTTATAACAATATTTTGGAACGCTTTGAGTGTCTGTCCCAGTTCCCCTGCTTGCTGCAGAACCGTGCCTCAATACAATTGCTTTCCTTTGTAATCCTGTATGTTTTGTTTTATGCATTTAAAAGCATTATTCTGAGGAGTCTGTAGTCTTCACCATACTGTAAAAATGATCCATGGCAAAATAAATGTAAAAAAAAAAAAATCCCTGTACTAGGGAGGAGCTGGGAAAGAAAGAGGGGAAGTTTGCCTGGGGAAGAAATTGATAAGATTCAGCATGTAGTACAATCTGGGCCCCAATAACAGCTGAGAGAGAGAGAAAAGGGAGTCAGGTCAGGGACAAAAATTCAGAGTCTTGTCTCCCAGGCTATAAATTTACTTTTGACAGGTTATTTTGATTAATTTGGTGAATTGGTGTTTTGACAAATTGACCCCTATTTAAGTTGACTTAGAACCACCCACCAGACTTACTAGAGCATTCTCTAATAGATGTAAGAATGAAGTGAAAAGTTCTCAGCACCATTATTCTATCAACTGGTTTGAACATATATGCATATATGCATAAACCATGGACACAGACAATAGTGCAGTGAAGGCCTGGGTGGTGGGGCAGGAGAAGGGTAGAGGAGTTTAATGGAGGAAAGGGGGGCATCTGTAATACTTTAGACAATAAAGACAAATGTAAAAAAATAATAAAAGTGGGTGTTTTACTACAATGAAATACCACTTCACACCCACTAAATGGCTATGATAAAAAAGACAGATAAGTATTTTCAAGGATGTGAAGAAATTCAAACCCTCACATATTGATCATGGGAATGTAAAAATGGAAAACAGTCTGTCAGTTCCTCAAATGGTTAAATATAGAGTTACCATATGACCCAGTAATTTCACTCCTAGGTATAAACCCCAGAGAAATGAAAACATGACCACACAAAAACTTGTACATGAATGTTCATAGCAGTATTATTCATAATAAACAAAAAGTGGCCAGAAGTGAAATACTCATTAACTGATAAAATGGGTAAGTAAGATGTAGTATATTATGCAATATTATTTGGCAATAAAAGGGAATGGAGTACTGATGTATGCTAAAACATGGATGGCCCTAAAAACATTATGCTAAGTGAGAGAAGCCAGTCACAAAGACCACATATTATATGATTCCACTTTATAAAATGTCCAGAATAGGCAAATCTATATAAAGAGAAAGTAGATTAGTAGTTGCCTAGTGCTAAGGGTCGGATGGGGAAATGGAGAGTCACTATTAATGGGTACCAGATTTCATTTTGGGCTAATGAAAATGTTCTAAAATTGATTGTGGAGATAGCTACACAACCCTGTGAATATACTAAAATCCATTAAATGGTACAGTTTAAAGGGTGGATTGTATGGTATGTCAACAAAACTGTTTAAAAAAAGTTATTTGTAGAGCCAACACTAATCTCAGGAATTATGATGACGTTTTTGCTTTCTTGTGCCTGGGCACCAAAACCCTTATACTTTCACCATGCTTCATTGCCTTCCAGTGTCGCATTGTCTGGCTCAACATACACAATGATCTACTTACTGACAAGGAATTGGACATTATATAGAACTTTTAGGTCAATTAATCTGTTTCAGTGAACAACTAGATACAGAAAAAAAATTACTCTTAACTGGTAACTGCTTAATAAGTAGAAAGCACTTCATCACAGATGTTTTACTTGGATTCAAATCTCAAACATCATCACTTGCTTATTCTGAAACATTGGTCAAATCACTTAATCTCTTTATCTTTTGTTTCCTTTTACAAAAATGGGTATCATAATATGCACATCATAAGGTGTAATGAGAATTTAATTATTTGTAAAAGGCTCTCAGCACACTATCTAACATATAATAAGTGTCAAGTAAAGCCCTGTTGATGTGTTTTCTTCTTTTCATAGGTACAAAATAAGAGATATGGTGCAATTCTTAAGCGTTTGCATTGTCAGCTGAACAAGCTTCAGTCAAATAGAAAGCAATGGCAGTGGAACATTCAACAACTAGAAAAAACTGCAGCTGAACTAAGAAAATGCATTGCAATGAAAGATTAACATGGCCGTAGGACAATGTAGAGCACAGAGTATTGCCACAAAAATTACAGGCAAGAATGTTGAGAAATCATTCAAATTCTTGTTTCTAATTAATTAATTTTTATTGAAGTATAGTTGACAGACAATATTATATTTGTTTCAGGTGTGCAACACAGTGATTCTATATTTATATATCTTACCAATGAGCTTCCACTGTCAGAGGTCTGTCCTAATGGCAGATATATTTATCTTTTTTTAATTAGTCCTTCCAACCCTACAATTGATAGCAGTAAAAAGACAATAGGAATGCTTACAGAAGAATAGTAGATGATTCCATGAACATTTTTCATGTATAAGATGTATTGTACTCATGAATGCCTGTTTATAAATTGTTGCCTTCACTATTATTTGAAGTAAAAATTTAGAAGAAAAGAAACTCTTGAATTTACAATGATTTAAATTGTTAAGATATTTAAATGGTTATCTGTTTCAAACTTTATTAAAACTTGTTTTTTTACTACTGCCTTCACAGCAGTCCATAAATATTAACATTTACAATAATATTATATGTTCAGTGCCTCAGGTATGGTTCTTAGTTTTTCTTCTTCATTCAGAAACTGGCAATCATTTTTCTTTGTTATTAAATAACGTATTTTTAGAGTGTTGCAAAGCATAATTTTTTTTGTTCATGCTTCTGTCTATAAATTATTTATTACTATTCTATGACTAAAATAACATTGTGTAAAGTAAACTTATAAGCTCTTTAAAAATGTAAACCATTATAGACAAATGTTTTTATTTTTTATTTTTATTGAAAGGCAAATACTATGTTCATGGCAAAAATCAAAATTTAATTTGTCCCTTGTAAGATGAAAGTGCTCCTTCTCATGGTCCTATTGAGTAAAATTTTTAGGAACAAAAATAAAATATTAATTATTAAGTACATGGTTTTTATTGTTTTAAGAAATTTTATTTTTCAATTAGAGTTTACATTCTGTGTTATTTTATATGAGTTTCAGGTGTATAGCATAGTGATTAAATAATCATATACTTTCCAAAGTGTTCCCCTCTCTATATTTTCAGTATCCTGGAACCATACATAGTTATCTCAAGATTATTGACTACTAGAGGCCTGGTGCATAAAATTCATGCACGGGTAGGGGACCTATGTCTGGCCGGCGATGAGGGCTGATCTGTGGGGCAACCGGCGGGGCGATCAGGAACCTATGTCTGGCTGGCGATGAGGACTGATCTGTGGGGCAACTGGCGGGCGATCAGGAGACCCCTGCTGGCACCTGCCTTGGTGGGCCTGGTGCTGCCTGCTTGCCAGCCCCACCCCCCAACCACCCATCTGCCGCTGCTGGTTGCCTCCCTCTGCAGAAGGCAACCAGCAAGGCAATTGGGGGGTGACGCCAGCCTAGTTGCCAGCTGGCCCCACCCCCTGCTGCTGCCTGCTCGCCAGCTGGCCCCACCCCCCCACCACCACCGCCAGTCATCTCCCTCTGCGGGGCCACCAGCAGGGTGATCAGGGGGCCCCGCTGGCACCTGCCTTGGCTGAACATATGATTTTCATATATTTGCTTTAGGATTTAATTATTTCAAGTCAACATCATTAAAATGATACCAAGGATATATAGAAGCCACATTGAGACTGGTAGGAAGGGCAGAAACATGAAAAGGGCTCACCCTGCTTCCACAGGTGGTGACAGATTTTGAAGGGATAGCTCAGTGGCAAAGGTTCCCCATGAAGAGTGTAGGGTCTCAACCCCATGCCAGCCACTCCAGCTCAGAGCACCAGAGCTGGGAAGAAACACCCAGATATATCTGGCTGTGAAAACAGTGGGGATTCTGTCCACCAGGGACAGCTGAGAGCCTACTAGAGATCAGGCACTTCCTTAAAGGGACAGCACACAAAATCTCTTTTGTAGTCACTCACCCTGGGCTCCAGAAGAGAGAGGGCAGAGGGGCCTAGAGTTTTGTGAAGAGAGACTGGGGTTTGTGTCTCCAGGGAGAGTGTGGAAGGGACCATGGCTAGCATCCTTATTCTGAGTCCCTCTCCCACACCACAGATGCCATCTTTCTTGGGTGAAAGACTCCTCTCCACGCAGCATCAGCATGAGGGGTTGCAACAGCCCCACCCTCCAAACTCCCTGTGGCCCCACCCTGTGAAGCTTCCCTATGAAGACTGGAAGTAATAGCAGATCTATCTAACACATAGAAACAAACATGAAGAGGCAGCCAAAGTGGGGAGACAAAGAAACATGCCCCAAATAGAAGAATAGAAGAAATCTCAAGGAAAATAGCGAAATAAAATGGAGACAAGCAATTTACCAGATATAGAGTTTAAAGGTTATAAGAATGTGCAAAGAACTTAGGAGAAGAATGGATGAAATCAATGAGAACTTAAAGAGATAGTAAACTTAAGAAGGACATAGAAACCATGAAACAGAACCAGTCAGAAATGAAGAATATAATATCTGAAATGAAAAATACACTAGAAGGAATAACAGTAGGTTGGGTGAGCAGAAGATTGAGTCAGTAATTTGGAAGATAAGGTAGAAGGAAACACCCAATCAGAGCAACAACAACAAAATAAATTTTAAAAAGTGAAGGTAGGTTAAGTGTCCTTTGGGACAACATGAAACATAACAACATCCACATCATAGGGGTACCAAGAGAAAAGAGAGAACAAAGGATCGAGAACCTATTTGAAGAAATAGTAACTGAAAATTTCCCTAACTTGGTTAAAAGACACACAAGCCTAAAAAGCACAGAGAGCCTTAAACAAGATGAACACAAAGAGGCCCACACCAAGACACATCATAAATAAAAATGCAAAAGTAAAAGACAAAGAGAGAATCTTAAAAGCAGCAAGAGAAAGACAGTTAACTACAAGGGAGCTCCCATTAGACTGTCAGTTGATTTCTCAATAGAAATATTTTGGACCAGAAGGGATTGGCACAATATATTCAAAGTGATGAAAAGCAAGGACCTACTGCTAAAACTACTCTACCTAGCAATGCTATCATTTAGAACCAAAAACATTAAAAGAGCTTCCCAGACAAGAAAAAGCTAAAGAAGCTCATTGTCACCAAACCAGTATTATAATAAATGTTAAAGGGTCTTCTTTAAGAAGTAAAAATTTAAAAAAAATAGGATCATAGTAATAGAGAATAAAGTGGAATAAATATGTATGTATCAATAATCACTTTAAACATAAATAGCTTAAATGCTTCAATAAAAAGACATAGAAGAGGTGAATGGATATGAAAACAACTCTATATATGCTGTCTACAAGAGACTCACCTCAGAAAGAAAGACACATGCAGAGTAAAAGAGAGGAATGGAAAAAAATTATTTCATTCACATGGAAAGGAAGAAAAAAGCTGGGTTGGCAATACTTATATCTGACAAAATAATCTTTAAAACACAGGCTATAGTAAGATACAAAAAAAAAAGACACTGCATAATGATAAAGGGAGTAACCCAGCAAGAGGATATAACCCTTGTAAACATTTATGCCTCCAACATAGGAGCACCTAAATATATAAAGCAATTCTTGATAGACTTAAAAAGAGAGATTGACAGTAATACAATCGTAGTAGGGGATTTTAACACCCCATTGACATCAATGGATATTCTTCCAGACAGAAAATCAACAAGGAAAGGGTGGCCTTAAATGACACACTAGATTAGATGGATTTTTAAAAATATATTTTTATTGATTTTTTTAGAGAGAGAGAAAGGGATAGGGAAAGAGATATAGAAACATCAATAAGTTAACTCCTGCATGCCCTCTACTTGGGATCAAGCCCGCAACCCCCCGTATGTGCCCTGACTGGGAATCAAACCAGTTTTTGGGAGATTAGGAAGTCATGCACTGAGAACCCAAAGTGACATCCTTGAATGTTTTAGTAGCAAGCAGTACACTCATAAGACCATGGAGATATTGCTGACACTCTGAGAGATACAATGAATTTGTTGGACAGAAGATCTCAGCAGAAGTCTGTGCAAGTAGAAGATCTGTTCAGCACAGCAGTGGTTGGGTCCATGCTGTCTGCTACCTTCCAAGCATTGAGTCTCGTTTTCCCAGGATAATGTGAGCCAAGTCCTTGATATCCTCAAAAGGACATCAAGGTCAGAATAGTGAAAATGCTTATATTTGTTTTAGAAGATTCTTCTGAGCACAGCGAGGCTTGGTGCCTTGGGATCGAAGTCTGTGTGTATAGCAGCCAGTAACTGAGCAGCAGTTGGACTACTCATCCTTGATTCAGGGCCAAGGCAATCTGGCTTAGTCTCTGTACTTCCTTTGGGAAAAGGCCAGGAATCACCACCTTGGTACTAATGAGAAGGCTTTGTGAGTAAACTAGACATCCCAGAGAAAAGCAGACATAAAAACAAAGGGGAAGGTTCTGAGATACTTCTTAAAAGCCCCTGGATTCTGCAGGTCCTGCTCTTTTGTCCCTCTTGGCCCAGGAGAGCCCATGCCTTGGAGACTCTCAAAGAGAGGTATGTTGAGCATTGTTTTCTCTGCTCAAGAGGCAGTTATAGTGCTGACCACCAGGCTTCCTGAGTCCAGTGGGTTCAGCTGGAACAACTTGCCTCTTGTTGCCTTTTTCCAGTTCCAGCAAGATGTGTGCCACTTATTATTAGAATCCCTCCCTAATATCTAATCTGGTCAGTGGTGGGATGTTTCATCATAGCTCTTGCTTCAGTAAATGTGCCCTGAGAACGTGAAATGTGCCAGTACTATAATGTTCTTGCCCTGTAAGCACTCAGAAAAACAAAATGGACAAGTCCACTTAATAAAAGCAAATAAAACAACCTAACTTTACACTTAAAGGGACTAGAAAAAGAACAAGCAAAGCCCAAAGTGACAAGAAGAGAAGAAATAATAAAGATCAGAGTGGAAATAAATGAAATAGAGTCTAAAAAACAATACAAAAGTCAATGAAACCGGCCATCTTGGGAAACAGAGCTGCTTGAGACTAGGATCGCAATACAAAAGTCAATGAAACCAAGAACCAGAGCTAGTTCTTTGAAAATATAAACAAGATTTATAAACCTCTAACCAGACTCATCACAAAAAAGAGAGAGAAGACCCAAATAAATAAAATAAGAAATGAGAGAGAAGTAACAACTGACACCACAGAAATACAAAGAATTATAAGAAAATATGCCAACAAATTGGACAATCTGGAAAAAAAAGTGGATAAATACCAAGCACCTTAATATTGAATGTAAACTGTAATTGGAAAAAATGTTTTTAATTAAAGTAAGATATAAAGAAAATAGGTATAATCTGCTTAAGATAATGTTCCCTATTTGAGAAAGTAATTTTTAGCCTACTTTTCTAAAATATCCATGTTAATAGATGTATCTATTTTAAATTTTGTGACATTTGAAAGAATTATTTGAAAGAGAAAACTTTTTTTCTGAACTTGCTCTTGAAAACCAATTCAGGTGATGGAGGTTTTCACATTAACCAAGAACTAACACTTAATATATACTCAAGTCTGATCATGTATTTAGTGTATCTGATATTTCAACATGGTCACAAATCTGATAGAAAATCAAAGTACTTTTAAAATTTCTCTGTAACTGAACCTAGCTTAGAATATGAACTCTTCTGCTTAATGGCCTTTCTCAATATGCTTTTGGTTTAAAAAATCATCTCTTTTTGGAAACTACTCATTTCAAAATTACCCTTATTTTCCTCATTTTCTTCTTGAAAGAAGTCTAAGTTCCTAGGGGATTTATATTGCTTTGTCATCAGTAGAAGTGTCCTGGTCCAAGTGCTATTTTCCTACCTTACTGGCCTCTGCATAGGTGTAATCCATTCTTCTTCATCTTAACTATCAAATTTTGTCCATACTATAGGGGCTGTGGTTTTCTCCAGCCAATGTGGTCAACTTCCTGATCCAATCATAAGGCCTCTTATGGTC